AGGTTCCCGGGGCACCCCGTGCCAGGGCCTCACCACCCTCACAGGGAACAACTTCTTCCTAAGATCTCATGTCAGTCTCCCCTCTGTGAGGTTAAAGCCACTCCCCCTTGTCCTATCCCTACAGGCCCTTGTCAAAAGCCCCTCTCCAGATTTCTTGTGAGCTCCTTTAGGCACTGGAAGCTGCTCTAAGTTCTCCCTGGAGCCTTCTCTTCTCCAGGCTGAACAAGCCCAGCTCTCTCAGCCTGTCTCAGAGGTGCTCCAGCCCTTGGAGCATCTCTGTGGCCTTCTCTGGACTTGCTCCAATAGTGCAAAATCATGCGCTGAGCTTCTTTTATTTGAATAGATGTGATACCACAACAGACCACATATTATTACTACTCCTATTACTTTGGTTCACTGATTAGGACCAAAACAAATAAATCCCTATTACCTCACTCTTCCAAACAAAATACCCTCTCTTCAAAATCAAAACCCCACAATTGGGCTAATTCACCTACAGCAGATCAGCTTTCAGGACCTTTATTACGTGAAATCTACTATTTAGCATACTTTACTGTATGAATTTTTGGGTGAACTTCAGTAAACACTAAAGGCTGATCTAGCACTAGATGGCAAGTGGGAAATAGAAACTGGTGAGGCAAGGGAGCCCAGGAGCATCCCACAGGTAGAGCCAATCATTAGAGAAGTCAGACAGCCCTCAAAATGAACGGGATAAAATCCTGATTCATGAAAAGTTCTGTTTGCAATTTACTTGCAGAAATGACACAGAAGGAAGCACTAATTACTTCACAATGAATCTACTTGAATGCCAAAATGAAGTCATTTGAATCTGTAAAATCTGACATTTTTATGCAGCATTTCTCAGGCCGAAAAGCCTCTGACAAAAATCATGAAGTCCACAGCAATAGGCTTTACAACTCCTATCTTGCATGCCACATGAAGGAACTCCTTTGCAATAAGTACCATGTCATGGGAAATAATCTTTTCCAGAGACAGCAAAGTGGTTGCATTGAACAACTCCCTTTTCATATGTGCTGTCAGACACTGGGTGGACTGAAAAACACTCCATTTGTTCACATTTCTAGAATTTAAAAAACCAAGCCTGTACATATGCAAGTACAGGGACCAAGTTACTATCACTCATATAAATGATGAGATGAGGGGAAAAAAAAATAAAATTACAATTTCCAGGAAGCCTCACGCTTCAGCTGAGCTGGAGCTGACAGCGTGCTTGGGAAAAGGAGTAGAAGCAAGCATAGGAGCGGTGGTGGAATAGGGGGTACAAGAAAACTGGAAACAGACGGAGTTTGGTGATGAAATGGGTCAGTAATCAGAAAGAGGTGGGAAAAACAGAAAAGGGAGAACAACAAGACAGCATATTCATAACAATCAGAAGAAATAAAGAATGAGGACAGCTGAGGCAGAGCAGATCAAAAACCTGTTTATCCCAACAACAGATAGCTCAGGCAAGCACATTTCCCACCACATTCCTCCACTCACCGAGTACTTGCATTCAGCAACTTTAAATGAATTTGCCATCAGTGAAATCAGTTTAAGAAGTAACCAAGCAGGGTAAATATTTGATACTGACAACCTGCTTTGGTAAAGTTTAAAGAAGGGGGTTTACTGTTTCAATCTGTCACTGCTGATTTGCCCTTTAGTTCTTGTACTGGAGGGGGAATGGAACAGCTGTTTTCTCTTCACCAACACGCTGCTCATGATTTTATAGAACACTATCCTCCCAGCACCATTTTTCTTTCCACGCTGAAGAATCCTGCTCTATCTAGCTGCTTGGCAGAATCTGGGGGTTTGATCATGGGTCAGTTTACCAAAACCAGTCCTGCTGTCTCCAAGGGGTAAAAGGATTTAGCAGAGCTCCCTGAAAGAGCTTTAAATTAGATTTGAAGGGGGAAAGGGATAAAACCAGTCTCACTAGAGATAAGCCTGGGGGCAGCACACCAGCGTTTGAGTGTGCTAGCAAGATCCTACAGTCTGCTGTCTCTGTGGAGATAAGGTATGGAGATCCATGTGGCAGGAAAGACACAAGGGTTATGGATGTATTAGAAACCATAGAAGCACCCAAGAATGGTCACCATTGGTCATACACCAGTGTATGCAGCATGGGCAACAAGCAGGAGTGTTACTGTCCAAAACACTTTGAAGCCACATGCTCTTTGAAAATGATGCTCCACATCCAAAGAGAAGTGTGCCAAGAAAAAAGGGACAGCTGATACTGAAGGAAAGATCCCAGATGTACACTGTAAACTAAAGGTTAGCTGGTAAGATGCAAGAAAGAATAAGTAACAGGCACAACAACCAGAACAGAACAAAGCTGTAAGAAGTGGCACTGTTCAGTGAAAGTAGTCAAAAGCCTTTCCTCCAACGTGTATGAACACCAGTTGGGAATTTTTCTAAGGAAGAAAGTTACAGCGGCAAACAAAATGGGAGCCAACAGAACAAGAAAAAAGAGAAAAAAAGGAAGTTTCAAATGCTTTGAAGAAAAGAAGACATTATGAAAAGACAGAGAGAGAACAGTACATTAAATGCACAAGTTCTAGGACTAGACACACCTGTTAAATAGGTGTTACTATTAAATGAGGTGTCCTTAAGCCACCTTTTGAACCATTAACTTGAGGCTTAATGTAACTTCCAGAACAATATCTAGGTCTTCGTCTGAAAACATCAAAACTTCACCAATTTGTGTAACATTTCATTCCAGTGGTTAATTGCCTTTTCCACTGAAAGGTAACACTGCCATTTTCTTCACTGTTTCAGTACCATCTTGCTAATTCTAGCAATAATGCCCCTTTTCTGTCCCAGGCCTGAATTGCTTATCTACTGTCAGCTCCTCAAATCTCATCCTAATTTAATACAGAATGTAATCTTTTATTGAGGAAATGCAGTGTCTGTCTTTTTCCTCAGTATTTGATCTTGCATATTTTATAGAGGTAATGAATTTGTTAAAAATGCTTAAGTAGTCTTAAATATCCTGTCATATATGCCTGTCCCCTTTATTTACCACTATCTTTAGTCACCTGCAGCTTTTTAAATATGTGCATGCAATTTCTCACTATTTTCCAGACCCTGTCATGTAGTTTCATTCAGCACACTAGTATTTTACATTTGCTAGTTTCAAAGCAAATATAATAAAGAAGCTTCATAGTGCAGAAAAGTTGGAAGACTTATTTACAGCGAATGACAGCCATAGAGATTAGGAGGAACAATTAATACAAGACAAGTTTCATGATGGGAACTTAGGGTGAGGTGAAAATGACAAGACCTGAACAGTAAAATCTGGCACTGACAGCAAGATTAACATCCCAACTTTTCAGGGTGGAAATGAAAAGCAAAAACCACCCAGAACCACAGTATACTTTACCACTGGAAAGAGAGAACAGTAATTACTCCTAAAGGAGAAACCCCATGTTTATGGATATCACTGATTCTTTACGGATACAGCAGAAGGCTCAAGAAGCATGAAACAAAAAGGAAGAAAGATTGATGAAAGAAGAATTAAGAAAAGAGTTAAAAAAGAGCTAAAAAGCTGGAGTTACAGAATGAGAAGATGCAGAAAGTGCCTCAGGTGAAGCAGAAGACATACAAAAACCAGCATCCTCAAAACTGTGTAAACGGCAACAAATTTGACATTACTATCAGAAAAATTAGACCTAAAGTTTTACACTTATAGAAGTGCTCAAGCATCCTAAACCAACCAAATGTACGTGTCAAGTCTACTCAGTAACTCTCTACGTTCTATGGCCAGCAGATGGCATGTGTGACAAAACCATTACTACGGCAAGCTCATTTCAGTATAAAGACTGCTGAGTAAGTAAAACCAGTTACCTTTCAAAGCTTAATACAATAAAACATGGACAGTCATGGAAACAAAGTATTTCAAAAATGGTTTTATTTTCTTTAAAATACTTACATCTGAGTTTGTCCAGTATTTTACCACCACACATAGTTGCTAACATGGCTTTCACCGAAAATACCGTCAGTTTCCCATGGCCCTCACTGTGGAAAAAAATAAACCATGGTAAGTGATTGCTACAGAGAACGAGAAATAACAAGAATACTTGAGGCCTAGGAAGTAAATGTATAAATGCCCTCCATTAACTACTAAGATATGTCAAAAGTGTTTAATATAACTTTTAAACAGTGACAATAGATTGGAACAGTTAACAAATGTCTAATCACAAATCAAGTTTTCTTGCAGGATTATGAAAAATGAATGGATAGAGACTAGCATTTGTCTTGTTCATCTCTTACCTGACCTCTGCAAGAGCTAATGGTTTTGGGTTTTTTTTTCAATAAAACACACTTGTTCACTGTAAAACATCTCTATTTTCCCTGTTACCCTTTGTTAGTTGCTTTAAATTTTCTCTCCTTGAGCTAAACTCTGATGTTCAAATACACATTTCGTCTAAAAATAGTCCAGTAATTGATAGCTAATGGAGAAGTCAGATAATATCCTGAATCCTATACCATGTAGAACAGGAATATTGTGAACATTGCTTTATTTTAATTTAAGTTAATAAAGCTGCTGTGCTATCAGAACAGATGGCACATTTGGGAGAATAATTTTCTAGTATCAGCAAGAGAAAATTAATTTGTCTCTATGGAAAGTATGCAAAAGCCCATTCAGCACGGTACAATACATAAAACAGGAACGTGTATTTTTCCCGTTAACAGGAAGGAAGAAAAGGATGAAACTATGAGCGAATTAAGCCACAAGAACCACAGAAGGAGGCTTGCTCAGTGCTGGCCCAGGAGGTATGCCTCCCTATCTCCTGAACTACTGTCGTTTATAGTACTAAAGATAGGAGTCAGAAAAACTCCATTTTATGCTATTGCAATAGCCACAGTGTGGTGATCTTGGTGTAAATCCATTGTTACCGTGAAGTCAGCTGAACATTGGTTTAGTGGTGCATAGGGCAAAAGAAATGAGTGTAAACATGGATAAGAGCTGTTGGAATTCTGAACAACTCACTGCCAAAGAGAAACGCTCTGAATCATTATCCTTAACCATAAACAGCAACAGCGGGGCAGACTGATGAACCACCAAGAAAGTTAAAGTCACGTGTAAAAGGAGAAAAAGAATTAAAGTAAGTTCAAGTAATTAGTTCTTCCCTGTGAGGGCGGTGAGGCCCTGGCACAGGTTGCCCAGAGAAGCTGTGGCTGCTCCATCCCTGGCAGTGTTCAAGGTCAGGTTTGACGGGGCTTGCAGCAACCTGGTCTAGTGGAAGGTGCTCCTGCACTGTGGCAAGGGGTTGGAACTAAATGAGCTTTAAGGTCCCTTCCAACCCAAACCAGTCTATGATTCTATAATGAATTGTAATTAACTGTATTGGATGGATAATTTGTACTATCATGGAAAATACACGACGGGTGTTAGAAGGGACCTAGAAAAACTCCAGACTACTCTCAGTGGAAATGAAATGCATGTTTAACATTTGCACTTGGATGACTAGCACTTCGAAAGTGTTAAAGTTAGAATTATTCAAAGTAAATATTGGCTCCTGGTATTGAAGTAGTGACAAGGTCTAATGTCAGTGACAGATGACAAAGCAGATGGAGACATCAGGAAGCAACCAAACAACATTTTTCCCCCTTTCACACTCAAAGCTAATATGCAAATATTATCTTCTGCTAACAAGTCACACTCCATGGTGAGGGAAAGGCTCTCAACCTTTCTCAGGCTGAGAAGTGCCTGAAATATAACATACAATTTCTCTAATACAGACTCAAAGTATCTTTCCAATATTCCCTCTGCAGAGGACAGGCAATCTAGAGCTACAATTGCAGGAAGAGCTGTGGAGAGAAATAGTGATTGAAAGGCCATAACTTTGTTGATATCCAGTCCCCTTTTAACCATTCTTCAATCCTTGACCTCCACTTTCATCTAAGCAAATCTTACTAGTTAATTCAAATCTCCTTAAGTTATCGCCTCAGCCTCCTCCTTTTTTTAATAGACATTCATTTTCTTTCAAATGAAAGTTCAGTTTTGAATTCATTTCCAGGAAAAACAAGTTACTAAAGTCATCAGTATATCCTCTCAGGACACAAACTTACCCTTGCAAAGGTATTATATGGTGCCTTTAGATATTAAGCCTGCTTCTGCTCACATTCTGTTTATAAATCAAGAAAAAACCCAGAACTCCTCCCTCTGTAATCTGGTAGCGGTGTTGTTAAGCAACATGCCAAAAATTGATTTTTGTATCAATGCTATTCAATCTGCTGAATTCCTCATGGAAATGAAAAAGGGCAAAACTTTCAATACGATTTATGAAACTCCTAGAACAATTAGGAGTTCTGAGGATTTGAAACAGAACTGGGAGACTTGTTTAAAAAAGACTGGGCCTGTGAGGCTTCTTCAAGTTGCCTGAAGGAAGCATCATCCTCTATGTCTTCCTGACCAGGCAGTCTGTAGCAGACACCCACAGGAACAATGTCACTCTTCCTACTGATCCTGACTCCAGCTCCCAGCTGGCTCATCATCCATCTGCAGGCAGAGCTCCACACACTCCAGCCAATCTCCCATGTAAAGGGCAACTTCCCTCCTCGTCTGTCCCTCTGAAAGAAACCACTGCAGCACTCCAGTGGTGTCAGCTCTCCCACCATGTCGTCTCAAGAGGAATCAGACTTCTGTTTCCTCCTGTTTGTACCCCACGCTGCACACAATGTACAGCCACTTCAGAGAGGCAACCAGTCATGCTGATTGCCCAGAAAAGGCACAAGAGCTTTCTGCTCAGCACTGATCTGCAGGCATTTCCTTACATATGCTTGAAGTGAGCCCCTTCCAGCTATGCTGTGCTGACTATAAGGCTCCTCCTAGCCACATCCCTCCACACACCTTGCTCACCAACTCACTTCCCCACTTTTTTGTTGTTCATACTCTCCCTCCCCCTTACTGCACACTGCTTTACTACCAGCATACAGTGTGGTATGATAGCTGCAATTTAAAAATGAAAAAAGAAGTTTGACAAATCAAATACCATTTCTAGAAATTATGAAATAACAAATACTGCTCTGACACAGCCAAACAGGGCCAGAGAAAGATCTCTGGGGTGCCAGCAACAGGTCAGGGACCTTGGAAAGCCTTGAGAGGCTATTGGGAAAAGCAGACCAGGAACAAACTGTCAAACGCCCATGCAGACCTCTGCAGGAGAGAGCAGGGAAGAACATCATACCACAGCTGTTCCTCCCTAATGCACCAGTGATGCAGCACAAGCCATCATTTCTGCACCATGGTCAGAGTTGTTCTATGGGTCCCAGTTAAGTGTTCACTGTGAGTGTTTTTCATACTTATCTAACAGAAGCTGTAACTCAAAGATTTCCATGGGGAAGAGGCTAGTCAAATCTTTGATTCCTTTACCTATTTGGTGGAATGTTGGTGATGTTACCAACAGCACCGTGTTGTAAGAAGCTGAATGCACTATGTGCATTTAAGCAATCACACAGCTACCCCAGTGCTGCCATTCCCGTGCAGATGGGTACTTCTGGGTTTTTCAGATTAACATCTGCCATGTTGATGAACTCCTGGAGGGGGAGCCCCAGCCCTGCCTTTCCGCTTATTCCCGATTCTCCCACTGCACAACAGCGCAGCATCCCAGCTTCTCTCTCAGCCCCAGGTGCCAGCTGGAGGAAGGTAAAGAGAAGCTGTTGTACTGTGCTGAGATCCAGCATGGTGCTTGGGTTCCAGAAGAGGCAGAACTTACATGGTTGGGGGCAGTGAGGGAGAAAAAAATATCTCAGCTAAAGCCTCAATCTTTTGAGCCAGCTCCCCAAAACATGACCGTTTCTATTTTTATATTCTGTATTTTCTACTGTGACCTGCCTCAGAATAACCAGCACCATCAGCTAGCCCTTACAGCTTGTCTCACAGCTAATAGCAGATGAGAACACAACAGAGAAATACATAGTTAATCCTGTTGTCATAGCAGTCTTCCTGCTTTAAGCTTTGTGGTGTTTTCATCTGTCCTTAGTGAGGCAGGGGCTATTCTGAAGTCTTGGACTAATTTGGGGGAAACCTAGCTCCCTTTGGTGACAATAAGAAGTTACACTAGTAAAGGATCAAAGCCTGGACATTACAACAGAACAACTATCGGGCATATTCAGTGCTGCAAATTGTCTTGGGTGAAACTCCTCAGTCTCTGTGACACAGTGCCCTGGCCACAAGCAGTTCTCTGCTGCAGGATAGAAGGCAAAGGGAGAAGAAAGATAAGACTGAAATAACAGCTGGCTGTGAGAAAGATAAGATGAAAAGTAAGAAGTGCTAACTGACAGTGGAAGATTTGCAGTTGCTACTCAGAGAACCCCCGGTGACACATCTACCCAGGAAGATTAGCAGATCAAACCATGAAGAAAGAGGCTGAGAAAGAAACTCATAAACCTCAATGCAAGGAGAAGCCTAGACAAGATCCTGAACAAGGAATCGGGCTTCAAGCCAAGAAATGAGCATTAGCCTTTATGGGCTCACAGTATGTTAGAAGGGGATGCAAGCTGACTGCCAAGACAAGGTAGCATTATAAAACAGTTTTGTTGATTGGGGTTCAATAAAACACTTTTGCTTTATAAAACAGTGCTATACTACTATGAGGTTAAGAACTTATGTTCTATCATAGTCTGCAGAGCACAGTTTTACTTTGTCTTCAGTTCAGATACACAGCTTACAGCAGTCTGCAAGGTCCAGAAGGCACTAACCTATCTTTCTTAATAAAGCAATTTTTAAGACAAAGCATCACTGCTGTAGCAACATAAATCTCTGCAGGCACTACTATGACATTAAATATATCTGTATGTGTGCACAACACACAATTCCATGAACTTGAGAAACAGCATGCGGACAGTTTGCTAGAGACTCATGCAGTTGGCTGCGTTCATCTTACTTAAAGAGAAAATTAGTTTAAGAATACAACTAGAGGAGTTACTAGCCTGTCATATGCTGCTATCATGAAGTTGAGGAGGAGGCTGATGGATTGCTCTACACTGATTTGGTGAGTAGAAGGAAGGCGTTTGTTTAGCTGGTAGTAGATGGATGAAATGATTGTTTCTAGTCGAGACACGTTGATCTCTGTGTTATGATCCAAAGTGTTAAGGCCATTATCTCTGAAGGCTTCAATCATATTCCAGATATCAACAAGATGAACTAAAAACAAAGGAAAAAAAATTAACTTCTATTCTGTAAAGCATGCAAGCTTACTTTTATGGTACTATTGCCAATTACTATGTTAGTTTTTATTTTGGAATGAACAGTTACTTATTTGTATTCAAAGTGAGAGACAGACTCGTGATATTCATACTTGTATTTTGTGTCAGCTGGTTTAAAATAATAGAGCTGTGCCCAGATATCTTGTGGGACTGTTACTCCACCCTTCAACGTCTGGGTGCTCTGACAGAAAAACTTCATAAAGGAGAAAAGCAATCTTCCACCATCATGCAGTGCATTTTAGCAGAATTAGGTAGCATCATTTGAGGACACCAGCCACATTCTAAATCCACTACAAATTGGTTACAATAATTTTGAACATCCTTATGCTAACTAGTAGTTGAGTATTGAAGGAGGAACTTGATGTTCTAGTGACTGTTTCCAGTTGATCCAGTTGCCAAGTCCAGAGCATAATACTTTGTAAACATAGGCCTAGAACTCCAAAGCATTTCCCTAAATTACCCTGCCGTATCTTAGCACCTATCTAAGAAGCGTTAACAACGTAGAGAGAATGTTTTCCAAACCCACAGTAAGCGATCTGCAGTACCACATTAAATAATATTTTTTAATGTTTCAAAGCTTGAAAGGTATGCATGATAGTGGGAGAAGACATCTAAGGCTCAACAGTAATCCACCAGTCCAAACTGAGTGCAAGCCAACAGTTACAAAGGACAGACTGATTTGCTAACTTCACAAGTTCTGTTAACTTCCTTAACTCATCAAAAAGGGTCTGAAGTAAGGTGTGACCTTTAACATTTCTTAAATAAAACTTGTCTTTACATTTTTCACATAAATACCACACAATGATAAAAGTCAAGGTGGCTACACCAAGCATATGCCCCAGATCACCCTGTGGTCCAGACAAAGACCATAAATGCACAGCCTCATCTACACCTACATGTATGGTAAAGGTTACTCGAGGCGTATGCATTGCATCAGTGACTTGGGTTGAAGGTGTGCAGTGTACTATAATTAGCATTTCTTAATACCTCTCTACTGATTAAGAGAGATTTTTAATTCAAAAGCATGAATTACAGCCATAGACTAACACTCCTCCACAGGAATGAAAAAGCTGTAATCCATCCAGCACACTAAAGGCACTGCAGGTACTGCCACACAGCTCCAAGACACACACCCCCCGGAGGCCAGCAGCGCTATGGCAGAGCAACAGTTGCAGTGCGCGGTTGCCCACGTCCGCTGCAGGGCTCCTCAGGTGTTCTCCTGTCCTCCTCCACACCAGACACACTAACTCCACTTTTCTGAGAGGAGGGACCAATTCCTGTGTACACTCCTCTGCTCTGCTTTTTGCTGTAGCCAATACAGCTCTGGTAGCAGAATGCAAAGTTGTGTCACGTACTCACCCTTGACACTTTGCTTTGCTTTGGTAAGCTACCAAGGCCAAAGGCCCGTGGAAAAGAATGTCAAAACTTACACTGACTAGTGTGGTATGAACTTCAAAGAATCCTTCATAGCTGATACATTTCACATAAGGCACTATGACCAGATCCAGATACTTTCATGCCAGTAACAGGATTAATGCATCACCAAACTCATTCCTCTGCCTACTTGTCAGGCGGCTTGTGGTACACTGTGATGGAACAGGACCTCAAACAGCTCGAGACTGCCTGCACCAAATACTTAGGGCAACCAAAGTATGTCAAGCTGGCTCATATATTTTAAGTTTTTGAAACTTTAAAGAATTAAACTAAAGATGTTACAGAGTATTGGACCAAGATTGCTGTCTCTTTTTAGTTACATTTTTTAATCTCTGTTTAAGTAACAACTGCCATTGTCTGATAAAATGTTTACTTTCTCTTGCTACACTTAAAATTCACAGGGGTAGAATATTTGAAACAATCATGCATGAGAAATTTTTGAAGGTAAAGAGTAATTATAACTTACGATTACATCTTTTTTGTACAAACCGCAGTTTACAGGCTGTTCGATACGTTGAAAGTCTGATGACATCAAAATTCTGTGCTCCTATGGATAAAAAAAAGTTTGTGTGTTTCTTTCCTCTGTAACAGCTTACCTGAGAGGATTACTTCGAAACTGGTATGAGTGTTTCTTCACAGACAACGTCTTTGTCATATGAACCTGACAAAGATTTTCACTAGATATCTCACAGTAAAGTGATTTTCAGCAGCATATTACAAACTGACCTTAGTTTGACACTGGTATGAGTATCTTAAAAGCAAGGATTAAGCAGTGAACAGGTAAGGAAAAAGGACTGCTCTGCTGTTGGAAGACATGCACATGGAAGATAAGAGACATAGGGAGGGTTTCCCAAATAGATCCAGATCAGGTAAGAAGCAGAAGAAAAGGCAAAAAAGAAAAACATATCTTCACCAACAAACTCCCACTTCAAGATGTGTAAGTGTTATACCTTCGGACAATGCCACATTGCAGAATAGGTGAATGCTATTAGCTGCCACCAGTCTCTACCACACCTGCCACTTCCAGCAATTCCTCTGAGCATTGCAAACTTGAGCAACTTCAGAAAGTTGTCTTAACTCTCTGACAAACAGACCTGTGTTCCTCATAAACTCACCAGAGGAAATGATAAATCATGAGGGGATGATAAATGACACTGGTTTAAAGTCCAGCATTGATCATTTTAATTTAGAAGGAGTCAACAAGTCAATCCCATTAATCATAAACCAAAATGCGTTTTAAATGGCTCACATTTCAACAGCATCAATGGCTGTGACCTACTATCAGTGTATCTCTGAGGTGTAAGCTGAAATCATCCAGTTGCACATGTGCAATGACACTAATGCATATGGTTTCTGTGCCTCTTGTATTCTCACTGGAATGCCCAGAAACAGGATCTGTGGCAGTCTGCCTTTCCCTCAAAAGCCAGAGCCTCAATGAATGGGGAACTGAGAAGCAAGGATAACTTTGACTTAAAGAATTCAGACTTCTGAAAGATACCTAAAAAAATCCAAAACCCACAACCTCCCAAAGAAGGTATCAGATTACTGTACTGGGGGGGTGGGGTCTTGCTCAAAGGTGATAACTTATTCCCTCCTACATTCTGAATTCAGAAACCAACTTGCAAATGCCAAATTTGAATTACCTTTATGTATGCACCCACTGACTCACTGATGCAAATTTAAGAAAGTATTCCTGCCTGAGATATTTAATTGCAATTTCACAAATACAACACCAAAGCATCTGCACATGTGCCAAAGTATCTGCTTGTTTTTAGAGACCTAGGTACTGTGTCTCTAAAGAGATGTGCAACGATTATCCCTCTTCATCTCTGATGCAGAAGGGGAGGTGAAAAGGGTCTGAAGACCAGCAAGGAGGCTGACCAACTTCCAAAGGCTCCCCACAAGAGCTGACCTAAGAGTGGCACTAGACTAGCTAACATCCAAAAAGCATTCTGCTTGACAGTATGGTACAACAAACCTAAGTGGATTATTTTCCAGTATCATCTTTAGAAAACTAGTCCCAGATGTATTTCAGGAAAGTACTTGGCCAGGTAACGTAAGCTGGAATATTCAGATCCAAGACTATACAAAATAGGTAATTTTGTATTTTCTATGCAACATTCTTTCGGAACTCTCAGTTAGGGTGCATACTTCTGTCTTTCAAACCACAGAAGGCATTTCCAGAGACCATGAGACTTCACAAACTGCTTAGTCTATATAAAATGTATGTATACAAAATATACATATATTTATACATATTTAAAAGGTCATTTAACAGCTACATGCAAAACCTTCTGTTCTTGTCTTCCTGTATGACATTACCACAAAAGCTTCAACAAGGTCTTTCTTCTAAACTATCTGAAGTGGGGTCTGTTTTCAAGACAGTCTGTGTAGCTCAGAATCACAGAATGGTGGAGGCTGGAAAGAATGACTGGAGATCAGCCTGGCCCAACCTCCTTGATCAAGCAGGGTCAGCTACGGTGATCTGTCCAAGACTGTATTTAGTCAAGTTTTGAGTATCTGCAACAATGGAGACCCCACAACTTCACTCAGCAACCTCTCCCAGTAAAAATGTTTGTTCTCACATTAGATGGAATTTGCTGTGTTTCAGTTTGCGCACACTGCCTGGTATCCTGCCACTGAGCTGAGAAAAGTCCAGCTCCATCTTCTTTATACCCTTACATAAGGTAAACTCAGTATGTATTCTGCATTTCAGAGAAATTTGAACAGCTTGCACAGGATTCTTGCCCATCAGACCACTCCATAAGTACTGCAAAATCAACACACACATCCCTGTGGGTAGCATGTCCAGTGCACGTGAATGCCAAAGTCTACTCTTGTCTTGCAGGAAGAATTATCTAAACACTTGAGCAAATTTGTATGTTGACCAAAAACAAATGGCCACTGAAAGCACTGATTTTACACATCACACATCTCTGCGTATGAAGCTCACCTAGAAAGGCAAACATCTGTGTGTCTACTTTACAGTGAGATATTCCACCACAGGACAGGTGAAGCTTGAAGCACTTAGATTTCTCATACTGGTATGATGAAGAGCCTCACAGAGAAAGGTGATTCAGGATGTCTGTGCACCAGCACTTTCCCTGCTAATGAACAGCAAGACCACAGCTGCAGAGACACCTTGTATTATCAGAAGAATTCTGAACATTTTTGATGATTTAGCCAAAGCTAAAAATTAGCATGTCAATCTCCGCACTAAATGACCACAAGATGACTAGAACACTTGAAAGTGATGAGACAAATGTAATACACTGATGCATCATTCAAAGCATTTCTAGTGGAGAAGTACTATTGTAATTTTAAAAGGTTCTAATGAGGTTTCACCCAGGATATCACATACAATTCAGTCACCTTTGCTCAAGTAAAACTGAACAGAGGCAGCGAAGGGGAAAGAAGGTGTATGGCAGACAGACTACAGGAGTTCACTTCTGCCATATGTTGAACAAGCCCAAAGAGACCCAGCTATGAACTCAAACACAGAGCAAGCTGCGAAGCTGGGGAGAAATACTATCTAAGGCTGCTCTCACATGACAGGAAGCAGATATAAATTAGCCAGGAATAAAACTGTTCCTGAAATTAGAAGCTGCTTATAACCACAGTAAGAATATTACTCTGCAATTCCTTCAATAAAATAGTATGAATGTATTATTGTTTTAAGACAGACCTTCATCAGCCTATAACTGGAATTACAGGACATGCTTGCCTAACCTAGAGTTTAATTCAGTCCTGTGTTCCCATAGGAAGGTAAAATAACATGATGCCATGCAAACATACAGCCTTTTATATCTAACTGCAAATATCTTCGTAAAAGGCTATGTCTTATTCCTTTAAATTATAACATCTCTGGACAGGCATCTGATTTTTGTAACGATGACAGCCTCTCTTTCAGAGAATAGTCCTGTGCAAAAAACAACCCCCCAAGCCCCTCAAACTGCTTCTCTCCCGAGTCACACCAGCATTGTGGTGCCTTTTTTATTTGTAAGGTAAAAGGTGATCTGTCTGTTGTCATAGATATTGCCATATATGATGAATGTGAATGTTCCTTAAAAAAGGAGCATCACAAAACCTAGAAATGAATTTGTGACCCACCTCTTGTTTTCTCCTCCTGAGCAGTACTCAGGAGCACCCAGGATGCTTTTCACTAGATGAGGCAATGGCTTTGTAGAAACAAGATGCAAACGATCTGTTAAAACTATCAAAGTGAAGCTCTCAGTAAAGAATAAATGACATTATATCTTCACATTTCTTACTTACTCATTTCCATGAACAGCTGTCTCTTCTCTGCCATTGTCCTCCTCCTCTTCCCACTCTCCTCAATCATTCTGAAGACAAAAATGGCAAACACTGTTTGTGCTAGAATTTCTGTTACAAGAGCAACTTACTGTGAACGACATTATTTTATCCCTCAACTGAAACAGTTTGATTATATTTGGTAAATTAGAAGACCTGTAGTTAGACATCTGTTCATAACAACTGTATTCCATAAAGGAGAAGTATCCTTTGGACTTAGCAATACCTTTTAAAGAGGCACACAGCACAGGAAACATTAATTCTAAACATTTTATTTGATAATCTTCAGTTTGCAAAACTCAGAGCCACATACATATGTATAGCAATATCATAGAAAGAATTATTTCTGTTCAAAGAGATTTTGTTTGCAAAACACAAAGTAAGCAAGACCTTTCCACAAGCAGTTGAGGCAATGAAGACTTTGTTGTTCAGAAGGAGAAAGCATATGGCATTCCATCCCTGGCTGACAGACTCATAATGCTCCTTTTTCCTGCCCAGGGTTTTTGTGGGGATGTTGGTTCTGGGGGTGTGGGGTTTCATTGTCTTTAAACAAAACCTGTAAGAATTCATTTACCTTTGAAACCTGGTGCTCCAGGTCAAATTTTATTTGTTGGAGAAGAAAAGATCTTAAATATAATTAGGGTGGAAAGAAAAAAAAACCCACATAGTTTGGTCACACAGGCCTCCGACAAAAACAGAATAAAGAAGGGACAGCAACATAGTGGAACTTAACACCCCAAGGTAAGAAGGCTCAAGGATAATTTACTACCTTACTTCGCTATGTAGTCCTAATGATAGATGCTAAATTTCAGTCAACTTGGGGCGGGGGGGGAAGGAACTTAATTCAGTATCAGTGTAAAATTTCACTTAAAACTACCAGGATATATTACTCTTTTGGCACCAGATTCACCAATTTACTCAATGTTTTTTAATGGTTTTTTTAAAAAAAAAAAAAAAAAAAAAAAAAGGTGGAGAGGGGGCAAAAATACCAAACAGTTATTCTACAATTACAGCAGGAAGTTAGTCAGCTCACGCTCATGCAACATGGCAGGACAGATTTCATTAGGCTTAAATGTCAACCAAGGAAAAGAAAGTCGTGTCTTGGCACTTAACATACACTCTGTGATTAACAGTTTCGATCAGCAGTTGTCCATTGCCTGCTAATTATTCCCTGGTGAAGATCTCTCAACAAATTTATCTCAAAAGCCACAAGAAGCCTTATTCCTTAACTGTTCACAAAAGGAAAATAAAGGTATGGTTGCATAAAGTAATCTGAAAATACGGTTTATTTCCTTATTTTTTCCTATGTTAGAAAACCATAGGCTCTGAACAAATGTGCTTCTGTGTTTTATTTTTTTTTAACATGGACAAACCTCAATGGCAATTTTTCAGATATGTAAAAGCTGGATTTTTTTTTTTCCAGCTTCCTCGAATTTAAATTAAGATTAAATAAATATAGGCAAATAGAGTGTCTTGTCTTCTCAACCAACATTCTTCATAATGCATTATCTTGAGCTGTACTTGACTGCAAACTGCAGCAGGTGTTCAAAGAGCTGGGCTTGGGGAAACTGCCTGTGTGATTCATGTTCACTCACAAGTTCCAGTTATCCTCATACACTGGGCCAAGCTGAAGAGTTTTTAGAACTCCTGTTCTCTTTGTTTCCTCATCACATAAGACATGCCTGTCATCTTGAATGATGCCAGATATTGTACCAGCTTTATTTCAAGTGCTAGCGCCCTCTAAACTGCACAACAGATGGACTCCAAGGGGTAGATTAGTTATTTGAGCTTTTAAATTGTTTTTAGTAAAGTCTATTTTATCAAGACATAAGGGACAACGGCACTTGAATCTTCTGCAGCACCAAAAAAATCAGTAATACTAGATCTTCTTGTCCTTGGGCTTTGGGTGCATGTGTCTCTCATCCCACCTGCCTAAGCCTCTGCTTCCAAGCAAATCTCATCTCTCTGCAAAGCTGAAACCAGTCCCTGTGATGTCCAACGCCTGGTGAACCTGCCTCACATCAGAGCGGCAAAACAGAGTGATACTAGAGACACCATAACTGTCATTTCTCCTAGCAATTACCTTCCAAAGCCCATGGATTCCAGCCAAACCCACAAGAGCAGCCACCTACTGTGCTTTCACAGGAGGCACAAAGATGTGCTACCAACCAGCAAGAAAAAACATATGGCAATGTCCAAATGCTCCTGCTCCCCACCACCACTTGAGAGGGTGGGCAAGTAGCACAGATGGGGCTAAGGAAAGGCCTGAAGGCAGCAGTGAAGCAGGGTATGTATATATGCCTACATATATACAATATACCTACAGCAGTGAAGCACTAGGTATATTTTATTATACATATAATACTGTACATTAAGGGCTGCATTGCTGTCTGGTAAGATACATTTAAAGTCGTATTATCACGACATCAATCCCTACAGACACTTTATGGTGTCAGGATTTGAGTGTTTTTTAGAGGTCATTCAAGCTGCATGGACTGCAGTTATAGAATGCTATCAGACATAATTCGCAGCTATGTAAGTCAGATTGACCAAGATAGATACTTTCAAAGTTTTAAAGGAGCTAGCATTACCCTTCATGCTCTCTGCAAAGCAAATGGGTGAATTATCTGTTCAGCAATGTCCTTGAAATGAGATCTGAATAAGCAAACTGGTCTCTCCATGATTATGAAGTGCTGCAGGAACACATCAACAACACAGAACCTGACTGACCAATAGCTCAGGAATTGTCTTGTACAGATTTTTCAGGTATGATCTCAGGAGAATCATGTCTTAAGGAATGTTGCCTCAGGACCTTCTCCAAGTCTCTTGCCTTTCCTGAAAGGAGCAAAAGATTGGAAATTTTCATTAGGTGAACAGCTCAACAGTCAGGTACCTGTTCACCAACAAAAAAAAAAAAAAAAAATAAAAACAAACAAACAAAAAAAAAGAACCCACAAAAAACCCAAAACAAACCACTGCTTAGATTTCCAAGCTCTCACTGCTGATTCTTTCCAGCTATTATCCAAGAAGGGGCAAACATCTAGGAAATCATCTTTCTGGGCCAGATTTACACATTCTAAAAACAAACAGTCCAAGTGGAGAGAGAAGAGACAAGGTGACAGGTATTTGCAAAAACTGTGGAAATTACATTAGTCGTATGAGATCTCTTAGAATAACTCACAACCCCAATAGCCTGAACTATCAGGCACAGAAGGATCCCTTACTGATGAAGCTGGGAAGAAAGACGTAAAGTCTATATTCACCTTTGCACTTTAAATCTCTCTCAAGTTAAAATCAGGAATGAGCTCAAACAAGAGTAACTGCAATTATGCTAAGGATGGAAACTGCAGTTGCTCACATCAGAAAACAGGAAAGGTAAACTGCAGTTTGTTCTGCATCGGGTTTTGGTTTGATTGGTTTTGTTTGCTTGAAGGGGGCGGGGGTGTTTGGTTTGGGGTTTTGGTGGGGATTTTTTTGCTGGGTTTTTTTTTTTTTTTGGCTGGTTGTGCATTGTTGTTTGTTGTTTTGTTGGGGGGAGGGGTGGGGTGTTAACATTTGTGGCACAATGCGTGAGCAAAGTGCCAAGAAATATACATGGATTGAAATAACAAGACAGACTAAAATTCTCAAGATGGACACTCACCTTAAAATGGACATGTGGAGAAAAACCACTCAAATATATTTAGGTAGCAACAAAGGACAATGTGAATGCACTAGGGATTCTCCAGTACCACATAAAACTGTTCAAACAGGTTGTTCCATTCCATTTTATCCTTCACATTTTGTGAGGAGCTTCTTCTGAACACCTGGTATCTACTTCATCATTCCTCAACCTCCGACAGATCCACAATGCCTGGGATAAGGAGTACACATGGACCAACACCAACACCTGCCTGGGAGAACAGTGCAGCATTTCTGTTCTGTCTTTAGCATATGCTACCACTTTAGTACGTGCTAATTATATAGCATATACTATATGATCACACTATGCTGAAGAAGTCCCAAGACCATGCCTACAGTAACCATGCACTATATTGCTACAAAAAGGACAGCAGCAACACACATCTAGAACTGTCATTTACCCTGCAACAGAAGAAAGTTCTTATACATCAAAAAAACATCAAAACAGCAGCTTTAGACCTGAAGATTTCCATAACATGAACCCGGATCAAGTTTGTTGGACTCTAGTCATAAAAAGAATTCAGATAAAATGCTAAAGAAGGATTTAGAAGAAGAAATGTGCTTGGTCATGCTTAAAAGCCTGAATTATGTTATTGCTAAGTTCTACTAAGAGAGAGAATAAAAGCACACTGCCGGGCCCAATCCAGCTTGCCAAGGAAGCAGATATGCAGGCAAGAACACAAAGGATATGGCAAGCATACAGAAAATACTCCCGAGGACTTCCTTTCAAGTTCCTAAAGTTTGCCATGCCAAGACATCCTCAGCCAAAGTGATTCTCTGTGTTTAGTAATCATCACCAGCTTTTTCCCCCCCACAAACCTGTGCTTGTCCCTTTACTGGCCATAAGCTTCTGACATTCACAACACTTTCCAGCAAGAATTCCCAAGCGTGAAACCCACAGCACAAGTCACCTCCTTCCTCCTACCAGATTCTCAAACCTCACAATTCATGTACTGAGAGGTACAGAACAGTCAACCACTATCCACCCTCTCCATGACATTCATGACTTTATAGATCTCCAACTTACCTCCTCCCTAGCTGCTTGTCTTCCACACTGAGGGACCTCAGCTTATGTAATCATGTCTTTTACTGAATGCTCCCTGTGTTCCTGTGACCCCAAATCAATACAGGCATGTCAAGAAAGCTGAGCAGCCAAGGGAAGGTCAAATGAAGCCTTCTCCATTCAGAAAACCACAACAGAGTGATCAGGAGGTGACATGTAAAGATCAACAGCGGATGACAGCATTGCACAGGAATGACTGGGTGGCCATGAAGAACAGCGCTGGACAAGCCAGGACATTATTTCACTTGGGCAAACTGAAGAGATTTCTTTTTTTTGTACGGACCAAA